TTTAAAATTTTGACAGTTGACTAATTAAGGATCTATGCATAATGATCCTGAAAATAAACAGCTAACGACTATGGAGGTGTTTTAAGATGAACCAATTCCAACAAAAGTCCCATGCGCTCGGAACATTTTGAAACTTACGGTCGCCTATTTTTCCGAAATATCCGATTATATGACAGAAACGTCACTAGAGAAATTTAGAATGGTTAATTCTTAATAGTAAACAGCCAATTTATTTCCAAAAGTCTTCAGTTTAATAAGGGAAACTGACCAGCATAGTCGAATCGCCATTCGTGACGAAAATGTGAGCTTTTACACGTCTCGTCAAATAACTGACTATTTGAACACCCAAAATATGAAATAAACAGGTCCAACGCTACAAAATTCTTGCTTGGAATCTAAACACTTCTTTTGGTACCCATATATTAAAATTAAATACGTCAACAGCGATTTATGTAGCCAGAAGCAACTGTCGGTGCGGTCAAAAACCATGCTTTGGAGGTGCCTCAAGCTGAGTTGAAAAAATGCTATGAAAAGTATTTCGGACACATTAAAAAGTACATAAATCATGAAAGACAATACCAATAAACGCAATCAATACCATTTTAATAATAAACTACTTTGTTTTCATAGTTAGGCTCACAACTTAAATAGTGTCCCACGTACAAAGGCCTACGTTACCTGCAGGGGGTCTGAACATTGTCGTGAAAAACAAATAGTTTTTACGATACGACCGACACTAGCGGGACTTCATGGTCAGGTGCGTGACGTGAAGACTCATAATTTAACAAACGTCAATGCTACGTAATCGTCACAATAAAGTGATATACAACTTATTATTTTGAAGTCCGATACTGCGTTAAAATATTGGATTAACACGCATAGTGATATAGGGACTAAAGTTCTTCTTTTTTTCTTCTTTTCGCTCTTGGCAGAGCGGTCGTGGTCACGTTGAGGCATTGTTCACGCTAGTTGTAGAGGCAGATACAAATCTCCGCACGCGCCGAATCAATTTTATGACAAACTAGCTTTCCGCCCGCGGCTTCGCCCGCGTGGAATTTTGTGTGTCACAGAAAAACAATATCGCGCGCGTATTTGCTCACCGTTTAGACCTACCCTGGACTACGACAAACATTTTAAAACCAAAATCAGCTCAATCGGCCCAGCCGTTCTTGAGTTTTAATCAGACTAACGAACATCAATTCATTTTTATTTATATAGAGACAAATTAGAAAACTATTTCCACCTTAGTCGCATAGGTCATCTTCTATCATCTTATATTTTATTTTCTATGACCAACCAAATTCTAAAAAGATAGCTAGCAATCTGATATAAATAAGATTACTAACAGTAGTAAAAAGTAATAAAAAAAACCAATAGAATACGAACCAACGCAAAATTAATGTTACAAAAATAATTATCTTATGGGCAAGCAAATTATTATGGAGATAAAATTATATCTGAATTCGGAATTTCCGACCACATCTACGAAAGTAATTTGAATACGGAAAAAAACTCTTTCTTCTGCCTGTTTTTCCTGCATTGCGGAAAAACTACTAAATATTTATATGAGGGCCGCAGTCCTTGGATTTGTGCTGCATTTGCATCACATAATGGGCTGATCGGTGGTGTATATCCGCCATATTGTCGCGGCTACACTACGCGGGAAATTGATCGGGAAAGATAGTATAAACACGCGTTTCAGTTTAGCCGTACGTCACCCATAGGTACTTAGGTGTGCGTGTTCATGCTTCGGTTCGATTAATTTCCCGTAGTGTAACTGCGCCAATATGTTAAGAGATACTTAACGAGTGTTAAGTATCCTAAAGATGATTGTAATAAATCTTGTATAGTTTTTAAACGAATTAGCATCACAACCAATCAACTGAAGTATCGTATAGAATCTACTTTAAGGCGCTTCGGACTAAATTACCTTTCTCCTAAATCATAATCTAGTTACTAGATTTAACTGATTGTCCTACTTTATAACTTGATGGCTTGATATTCAAAACCCTAAGTGATCAAAGATCGATTCGTGTTGTTGATAAATGAATATATGTAGTTTGTTGAGGCCAATCACTAAAGTCTCAGTGCCGAAACTTCGCGCAGAAAAAGGAATCACTATTGTCTATTCACTACTCTATTATTGTCTATGAAAGGACTTCAATTTACGAAACCCAACGTTCTTCTGTACAAATTTTTATAAATCCAATTAAATGGATGAAAATCAAGAAAGTTAGTTTCAATACTACATATTACACAAACAAATGGTGACCCCGACGTGATTGCAACGAAAAAGTCAACGAAACCAACTCAAAAAGTCAAACCGTTGAACATTGGAAAAATCCAGCTCATCCTTCAGGAAACCGCCAGTATCCAGCTGCAGCAACTATTCCGAGGGAAGTGCGATTCCTATCCTTGCTACCCATTCCTTCCAGCTTCCATTTGTGTGAATACAGTTGTTAAATCCAACGGGTAGGTACATACTACCTACACAACTATTCACGCAAAAATAAGTCTAAATTTCATCTATTTTCATCTTTTTTACGAATTAACTTCATTTATATGGTGTTTCGCAATACATTTTCACAAATTAAATCATAAAATAGTAGTCCAATTTGCTATATTTCATAAAAATAGTTCAGTTTCAAATTACAAATTCAATTCAATAGTGTTAACTGTCAGTTCATATTTTATACTTTAACACATTGAAGTAATACTACGTATACATTATAACTCAATGCTTTAACATCATAAATCTTGTTATTACGCCATACTTATACGTACTGCCGAACATTCCAGGTGTATTCCTGCATTTTGAACACGGAAATAATCAAAACCTCTGCCGAGTGTGGCGGGTCCGGNCAAACCCCCATATTAGTGAAATGATAAAAAATACAAATTACTACTCCAAACTAACTGACGACGGATACCAATGTCAAATAAGATGTAAAGTGAGATACCCACAAAAAAAAAAATATCCTCAACTAACAGTGCGTAAACTGGCATCACCGTACGTGATACTACATACATAGTTCTTATTTCTAATCTCTTCGGACAAAGCCCTCGCATAATTATGATAGAACTTCACTTTTTAAGTTCGTTTAATCATTAATTATTTGAGTAGTATTTATTGCCTTTGTTGGACTGTAAAGAAACTAGTGCCGTTATAGTAAATGAACTCTGTTTGCGATGCAACAAAATGCGTGATTTATCATGCAATTTCGAGGAAATACAATCCCAAATAGAAATGTTGGATGAAGATACCGCTGCTCAAATGAATGAACGGGAAATAACCGAAAATAAGTTATTTTATTTAATAGCAAAATCACAATCATTATTAGATTACTTTGAAACACAACATAAACAAGAGTCTTCATCCAACACAACTTCAAATCACATCAATATTAAACTGCCACCTTTAAAAATTCCACCATTCAATGGAAATGCAAATGATTGGTTGGCCTTTCGAGACACTTATTTATCACTTATCCACCAAAATCATAGCATTGATAATATCAATAAATTCCATTACCTTAAATTTTACTTGGAGGGTCCGGCTAGTTCTGTCATTAATTCTGTTACAGTTTCTTCAGATAATTATGAAATAGCATGGAACCTACTTTGTGAGCGATATGATAATAAGCGTCTCTTAATCAATGAACATGTTAAGTGTTTATTTTCAATTGAATCATTAACCAAAGAGTCTCACAACGGAATTAGAAATCTAATAGACAGTTTATCAAAGAATTTGAACGCATTAAACAATATAGGTGAACCAACAGACAAATGGGACACACTTATCATCTATATGGCCTCGGCGAAGTTGGACAGCGCTACTGCCCGTCGGTGGGAAGAGTGTAGAAGCAGCAATGATTCTCCTTCACTGGATGAGTTCTTATCATTCCTTCGTCAGAGAGCTAACTTACTAGAGACTGTAAATGCAAGTAAAATTGTTAACAATAAGCATGAGAAACGTCATAGCTTCCAATCATTTCACAGTTCATCGGTCAATGCATCACCTGCTAAGCAGTGCCTCATCTGTAAGCAAGATTGTCATAGGTTGTATGAGTGTTCTGTGTTCAAATCAATGCCCGTTAGTGAGCGAATTTCTAAACTTACCTCATTAAAACTGTGCAACAATTGCCTTCGTGAAGGTCATCAAACCCATCAATGCAGGTTGGGTGGCTGTCGTATTTGTCATAAAAAACACAATACACTGATACATAGACAAAATTCGTTGCAATATTCACAAACTAAACAAATTAATAGTGATGACAATAAAGTAAATAACTTACCTCAAACTACTAGCAACTCACCTAGTCCTGTCACTGGCTCCACTCCATCTGGTTCTGCTTCCTCCGTGACTATGTCTGCTACCTCCTCTGGTCAAGCACTCCTCTCTACGGCATTAGTCAAGGTGAGAAACAACAACAAAGTGTACACACTTAGAGCCTTGTTGGATTGTGGGAGCCAGTCTTCATTCATTAGTGACAGGGCTCAAAGGAAAATTGGCCATCAAAAACGTCATGATTGTTTTCACAGTGTTTCAGGTATAGGAAATGCAGTACTAAATGTTACAGAACATTGCAATTTACATCTTCATTCCTGTCACAACTCATTCAACATAATTGCCAAGTGCTTTGTTTTACCTCACATTACAGACAAGTTGCCCCATGCCACAGTTCGTATACAAGATTTAGGCATTCCACATCATATTCAGCTTGCCGACCCAATGTTTTATCATTCCTCAGACATTGATCTTCTACTGGGCGCTGACATATTTTGGGACCTTCTAGGACCCGGCAGGGTAACTTTGGGACCACAAAGGCCCATTTTACAAGAAACAATGTTAGGATGGGTAGTGGCTGGCCCCACAGCAACAAATTATTATGAAACAAATAATACAAAATTACATTGTCATTTTTCAAAAGACATTAGTCAACAACTTACAAAATTTTGGGAACTTGAGGAGGTACCTCCTAGCATTGAATACAACAAAAATGATTATTGTGAAAATTTATTCACCACCACCACACGTCGCGAACCTGACGGGCGATTTTGTGTTCAGGTTCCTCTCNTTCCTCTCAAGGAACTCTTCAGATTGTTTAGGTGAATCATACCACATTGCAGAGAAACGATTGTTTCATTTAGAGCGTAAACTCAAAAATAGTCCATCACTTAAAACCAAATATCAAGAGTTCATCCACGAATATGAGAACATGGGTCACATGACTGAGATTCCTCGGCCAGCATTCGGCTGTTACCTTCCACATCATGGGGTAGTTCGAGAGGCTAGCGAAACCACAAAGTTGCGTGTTGTATTCGACGCATCTTCAAAAACTGCATCTGGCGTGTCGTTCAACGACATACAACATGTCGGACCGGTTGTTCAGGACGACTTGTTTTCAATTCTATTGCGGTACAGACAGCACAGGTTTGTAGTGTCGGCAGACGTGGAAAAAATGTACCGTCAAATACTAGTAGACCCTGAACAACGGCATCTGCAACTCATTTTGTGGCGAGACGATCCGTCGAGTACTATCAAAATATTCCAGTTAAACACTGTTACGTATGGAACGGCATCAGCACCGTTTCTTAGTACTCGATGTTTACTACAACTGTCCGAGGAGTGTCAGGACCTTGGTGTGGCTCAGTTGATCAGGGAGGACTTCTACGTGGATGATTTCCTTTCGGGAACCGACTCAGAAGACGAATTGCTGAAAATAGTTCACTCAGTTACTTCTATTCTTGACTCAGCATGTCTTCCATTGCGTAAATGGCGAACAAACGCACCTAGCATCTTTCGAACTGAGTCGAACACATCCCAACCTAAAACCTTTGACATGTCTTCTTCTCAGGCCAGTGTTTTGGGCCTCAAATGGAATCCTTCTGATGACATTCTTCAGTTTTCTGTTGACATGGAATTAAATCAGCCAGTCACTAAACGAACCATCTTATCTAAGTCAGCTAAACTTTTTGACCCTTTGGGTCTACTCAGTCCATGCACAATAATTCCCAAAATCATTCTCCAGAAGCTGTGGCAGTCAAAACTGGATTGGGACGATCCTGTGGATAATTCATTGCTCAAGGAATGGAACACCTTCGCAGAAAATTTAAAGTCTTTAACAGAACTTGCAATTCCCAGATGCACAATCATCTGCAATCCAATCAAAATTGAGCTGCATGCTTTCTCAGATGCTTCACAATTAGCCTATGCATCTTCAATTTATCTGAGATCAATCGATGCATCTGGTCACGTCTTGGTAAGGCTGTTATGCGCTAAAACTAAGGTGGCTCCGCTCAAGGCAGCAACCATTCCTCGGCTTGAGCTGTGTGGCGCTCTTCTGTCAGCACGCCTCAGTGCTAAGGTGCTGAAGGCACTTCGATGTGAGCTTGAGTCTATTTTCTATTGGACAGACTCAACGGTGGTCTTAGGTTGGCTTTCTTCTCATTCATCTGACTTAAAGCCCTTCGTTTCGAATCGTGTTAGCGAAATCCAAGAGCTGACGACTTCTGGCACCTGGAGACATGTCCCTGGAGAGAAAAATCCAGCGGATTTAGCATCACGGGGAGTGAACCCCAGATCACTTCAATCCGCTAACTTGTGGTGGGAAGGACCTTCTTTTCTAACTGAAGACTCGTGCTATTGGCCGCAAAACATAGGATCTCACGCTGTTCTGGATCTACCTGAAAGAAAATCTAATAACATTAAACCTAAAACTACAAAGCAAATTACTACACTAAAATCAACTACTGCAAATGCTCAAAGGGTGATAGAATTTGATAGATATTCCAACTTTACAAAATTACACAGATCTATTGCTTATGTACTTAGATACTTACACAATTTAAAAAATAAAAACTCAAAACTAACGGGTCCTTTGACCACAAATGAATTAAATACAGCTCTAAAGGTTTTGGTAAAACAACATCAAATAGAATGCTTCTCCACTGAATTAAATACTCTTAATAGTAAACAAAACTTACCTTGTAAATCCCGCATCTTATCTCTCAGTCCATTTATAAATGAAGAAGGCATACTTTGTGTTGGAGGCCGACTACAAAATTCCAATGAGCCCTATGAGAGAAAACATCCAATTTTACTGGACTCTAAACACAATTTTTCTAAATTATTATTTGCTCATCATCACATTAAACTTCTTCATTGTGGGCCTCAACTTCTACTAAGTAGTATACGAAATACTTATTGGCCTTTAAGAGGCAGAATACTAGCAAGAGGTATTGTTAATAATTGCAAACTTTGTCGATTGATGAAAGCTAAATCTTATAATCCCATAATGGGAAACTTACCTTCAAGTAGAATAACTCCCAATCATCCATTTCACATCAGCGGCGTCGACTTCGCCGGGCCATTCTACATCACTGATCGCAAAGGTCGCGGTTGTAAAATAACAAAGTGTTACTTGTGCCTATTTGTCTGTTTCAGTACAAAGGCTTTGCACCTCGAAGTAGCCAGCGACCTGACTACTGATGTTTTCATTATGTGTCTTAGGCGATTTATTTCCCGACGAGGGAAACCATTGCAATTATATTGCGATAACGGCACTAATTTCGTCGGCGCTAACAACGAAATCACACGTTTTCTCAAATCAAGTAACGATGACATAACTGGTTTCGCATCGGATGAGGGAATTGAGTTTAAATTCTCACCAGCTTATTCTCCCCACTTTGGTGGGCTCTGGGAGGCAGGCGTTAAATCTGCGAAATACCATATAACGCGAATATTAGGCGATAAACATCTTACGTTTGAGGAATTAACGACTTTGTTCACCCAAATTGAAGCAATCCTTAACTCCAGACCCCTATCTCCTCTATCATCAGATCCTACCGATTTAAATCCCTTGACTCCTTCGCACTTCCTGATCGGCAAACCACTGACATCGCTGCCGTCAGAGAACCTGCTGGATGTTAACCCTGGCCGACTGGATCGATATAGACTTCTGGAAAAAATGCGGCAACACTTCTGGGATCGCTGGAGAAACGAATACCTGAACGAGTTGCAACAAAAAACCAAATGGCAGACGCATCAACAAGGACTACAAGTAGGCGACCTGGTGGCCATCAAGGAACCTAATCTGCCTCCTTTGAAGTGGCGCATGGCACGCGTCAGCAACCTATACCCTGGCTCCGACGGAACAACAAGAGTCGCAGACGTCACTACCTCCAAGGGCATCGTCCGCAGAGCTGTTCGCAACCTCTGCCCTTTGCACGCATCATAACCTCAACCAGCAGCAGTACTTCGAAACCCTGGAGATTTCGAAGGGGGGGAAGATGTTGAGGCCAATCACTAAAGTCTCAGTGCCGAAACTTCGCGCAGAAAAAGGAACATCACTATTGTCTATTCACTACTCTATTATTGTCTATGAAAGGACTTCAATTTACGAAACCCAACGTTCTTCTGTACAAATTTTTATAAATCCAATTAAATGGATGAAAATCAAGAAAGTTAGTTTCAATACTACATATTACACAAACATAGTTATATGTAAGTACTTTCCTATTTTTGGCTCGTTGACTTGATATTGATGGATTAACTATAAGTACCAAAAATAAATAATGGTTTTATACTCGAAGTGAAAAATTGTCTGGCTGATTAAGTAGATACTTAGTTCTATCTAAATATAGTTTCAATGTTGCTCCAATAATGTTGGAGCACTGAAGCCATTAATCAAACTGAATATCCGACAGTTTCTCTCGACATGGGCTTAAGGGTCTTGAGGTAATTCCAGTAATACGAGTAAATACACCTTTGTAGATAAATAAATTATTATACATGATATTGAATATTAATATCCAATATTATATTCTGTGGTAGTTATCAGTGGGTCTAGACAAAGTGCACATTATAGGTAATTAATCGCATACCAGTCGAAAAGTGATCGAAAAGCCTTTTTTTGTATGGAGTTTTGACGAATTTTGGCTAAACGCAAACCGCGAAAGCCAAGAATCGAACAAAAACGTGGGAACTATTTTTACTACTCGCTAAGAAAAACGTTCAAGAAGTGGAAAACTGCTGAAAGAAGCGGCAAATAAAGTACAGTCGCGGAATGAAAAGGTTCGTCACCTTAGTGTCGGTTTTCGCTTGCACTAGGTACTGTAAGAGTCAAAGCTGCCAACATAACCGTGCAAGAAACAGTGCTGCTAACATTTAAATAAATATGACGTTTGCTAACGAATAAGGTTTTGCTTGTTTATTTTTCTATCCCATCAGTGCAATGTTACAAAATGTAGTTTTTTTAATTTAATAGATAATGGCAGGTTGAACCAACAAGAAGGTTTTAGTTTATCAATCATAATAATCTTCTTGACAAGTTAAATCGTCAAACAACTTTGATCTGAATAATTTTGAACTTTACTGACGAACTGTTAAAGATTATTTTCTCTAGCTCGAGATTATTCTGTAACATAGTTTCAAAAGGTAATATGTGCTCGCGATTCGTTGAAGGAATCAATTTGAAAACTGACGAACCTTTTCATTCTGTGACTGTACAATCATGGAAAACCACTAACCTGCAGAACAGTCAGGATCGCCTTCAGCATCCTTTGCAAGATGCCAATACACGAGGCTCGACCGACTATGTAATCCATAAGTTCTTTGAGGCACATTGTTCACGAGCACTAAAAAAGTTTGCACAATACACATCACAATATTTTAACGGTTGACACTTCAGTGCGAGTATTTTCAGATTTCAGTCTCAAAAATCGTGACAAAATAATAATTATTACGGTTGCAAACTAAAGAGTTTTCAAAACAATGATTTGATTGGTGCGTCAAACGTCGCCAAAACATTGTGTTCGCCAATCAAATAGCTCCAAATAAGACAACTAGCGCCACCTAGCGCGGCGTTCGAATGAACCATTTGAAAATGTGATGGTAGTCAATACAAAAACTTTTCAATTCTGATTTTCAAGATAATTAAATTCAAAAGGATGGTTGACAATAATGAAAAATCACTGAAATCACACTAAAAACTCAGTGTTAAAAAAGCTGTGAAATTCTACTTTTGTAGGTAGTTTTTAAACCGATAAATGGTTAAAATTCAATTGAGTTTAAAGGCGGCATCAAATCAATGCAAACTATAATAAGATAAAACATAAATGTTTATTCATAAAATGTTAAAATGTTTTGTAATGTTCTTTAAAATCACAGAGACAATCCAAACAAATAAAATTGGCTAAACTCTATTGGCTTCGTAATATTAAGATTAAGGGTAAGGTAAGTATAATATTTTTATCATCGATCCCTTCGGTTTCAATAAGTTTGACGTCAACGCCGTTATAATAAAAGAAGCCAAAAGATAAAATTAATACCGAAGTAAAAGGTTATCCTAAAATAACAACCTATTTGAGAGCGGGTCAAGAAATTCATGTAGGTAGTTTATTCTTTTTGTTATACTAGCTTTTGCCCTCGGCTTCACCCGCGTAAAATTTCGTTTGTCACAGACCGTCATATTATAGCCTATATGTTATTCTGTTGTAAACAATAATACTGTAAAGTTTCATCAAAATCTGTTTAGTAGTTTTTGCGTGAAAGAGTAAAAAACATCCAGACATCCAAACATCCAAACCTTCGCATTTATAATTTAAGTAGGAAGGATTAGTAGGAACAAATAGGTGGAATAAATATGTACACTTATTATATGTATATGAGTATCTACGTCTATTTATTTAGGTCTTTGTCCCGCTAAAATAAAAAAGTATTTTTTTGGTTAAAAATACTTTTTCGTCTTGGATATAAATCTTGTATTGTTCTTAAGTCCTGAGTTTAATTATTATTATTATTGAATACATTATTTATACGTATACCTATAACTCAGTCAATGCCTGAGATATGGAACTTAGAAAGAAAGAAAGAAAGAAAGTATTTATTTGATGCGAGTATTAGAAGCGTTACAAATAAATAACAACTTAAACACTAAAAAAACAGAGTACACGCACCAAAATGGCATCTGTACGGCTAGCACGAAAAACTTTCGAGTTCAAATCATTTGCGTACTCGAATCGCCATCAAAAGATTTAGTAAGAAAACTACAAGAGCGTCGTCGTAAAGTGAACTTAGTATGAGATGTGGTTGCACGAAACTTATTTTGTGAATCAAAATTGTCACGTTATCGTTTAATTCGAAGATTGAGTATCGAATTTTTTCGAGTACGCAAACGATTCGAAGACGAAAGTTGTTCATGCTAGAGGTACTGCTCAGTATAAGCCGTGAGGCAGAGAGCACGTCACGACCACTAGTATTCTGCGGATGCCAGTTTAGCAGAAGGGCGCAGCCCGCCCAGAAACATCAATCAACATTATTTACGTGAAACTTGAACATATTTTTATACAGTTCAAACTCTATATCTAAGCTCTATAAAATAGTAGACAGATGACAACCAAACTTGGAAGCCGCACGGGAGGGTGTTCAGGCGCGGATCCAGCCCTCAAAAAAGGTTGTGGGCACAGCCACTAAAAATTAGCAAAGTGAGAGTTGGACTTGGATTGGATTACGAACTCACTCACGCTCAATCACGCTCGATTTTTGAAAGGCTCATCAGTCAGCCGTTTTTATCATCAGCCTATCGATCTTATCAATAGATCATAAATAAAACAAGCAAATTAGGGTTGTGGGCATGCCCACAGTGCCCACAACGGTGGATCCGCGCCTGAGGGTGTTTTGATAATGTCAAACGTCTGCGAAACTTCAGATTTCCTTCAGATTTATATTATTATGCTCTTCCGTGGAGGGTAGTTGAACGGGAAGCATGGTCGATCTGTTTTAATGGTTTCAATTTATTATTTAATGGACTTTAGTGTACAAATTTGGTGTTATTTTGTGTTTTAAAGTGCAGTGAAGTGATAAATTATAAAAAAAAAACATTGAAATACTTGAAATTTGAGTGCGCATCTAGTGTCGAGTGGGTTGTCGTATGAACAACCCGCTTTGGACCCGGTGGCGTCTCGAAACCTGCTTACGGGCATACTTAACTCCACGGAATCCATGAAAAATCAATAGAACTGAAACACCCACGTTCTATTGATAACTATGTCAATTATTTTTCACTCGACATTGGCAGAAATAAACCTCACAGAGAGGTTATGTTGCCATTAAAAAAAAAATGCTCTGTCACGTCATAATATGTCAATGTCACCCCTCCCGTGCCGCTCCCATACCTCAGGCACTGACTGAGTTAAGTACTACTTAAAATACCAGTGTTTAGCTTTGCCATAGATATGGCGTAATTTCAATCTACAAATAACATCAGCATTAATATTAATAACATACAAAATATTCCAGTTATTAGTAAAACACCAGTGAATTACATTCAGTAACCACTTTTCAAAGGATTATATTATAAATGATTTACCGAATACAATATCTCGATTAGTTTGTTTTCGAAATTGCATTGCATTCGCTTATTATTATTACGTTTGTTTTAACAATGGACCGACGAAATTAAATGTTTGCC